GGAACGCTTTAGCACATTTTCGTGATCCCACTAACGCCAGATAAAACTTGCACCGCAACCGACAATACGTGCATGGTAGGAAGTGCGGTGCATCGTAATACATACACTCCTTTCCCCTCGCAATCCCACTACTGCAAGAGGCAATGCGGCCAAAGTCGTCGTTGATAGGGAGAGTGGCGCCTCAGTACCAATGTAGTTCCTCCACAACTTTACCTCAGGAAGGGTGAGAGGAAAACCCTTCCGGCACAGTCCTTAGTCAGTGTCCTATTTTCAGATAACCCTTAAGCAAAAAATATTGTTTAAAGTAGTAGATTAGAAAGAGTGTATGTGTTATGGCACAGGTAAATACTTACGATTAAATTCATCATGTCGCGATCGAAAAATACCATAAAAACATTATAATCTTCCTCGTTCTATGAAATAAATATAATTCTTACAGACAAAAATATTCGTTAAACGTGACGTTTCCTTATAAGCGAGGAGCTCGTATAAAGCTTAGATTACTAAAAATGGTACTTAACTGGATTTTTTTAGGCGTTACGTATATATAATGTGTTTCTATTATAAATGGTTGTTCTATTTACGTTTTGAAAAATAATTGTAGATTTTTTATTATCATGGCAATTCATTACAGATTGTGAGAGAGAGTTATGATTTTTTAAGTAGCTACTAATTTAAGTATTATTTAAATATTAACTTCAACTTTATTAAGAAAATACTCATTTGTTATTATTCATCAAGAAGAACGCCAAATGCAGAGTTCTTTAATGCAACAAACTTCCAAGGAACCACAACAAAAGCACAAAGCGCTGCGTTGTAAGCAGAGACGGATGTCGCACTTCCGACAGTTCCTTGAAGCGTATAAATGCTCTCTGGACGCTGTTCTTTTATTTTGGATTTGAAATAGGGATGTTTGTTTCCTGATTTTTCCATGAAAGTACTGGATTGTAATTAATTATTATCTCTTTTAATTAAAAGCTGTTGTTTTTCTTTAAAGTTATGTTTTAAAATGGCCAATTTTAGAACTGCATTTAATGGTTATTACGATGAGGGAGGCTGTTTTCGTAACTAATCTTTGATGGTAAAATGTTAAGTTAAAATTTGCTTTAAAGTGTAATTTGAGCTCATTAAATTATCTAGTTGAGTTTTTTAAGAGGTCCTTTATTTATAAACGACAAAACGACAGAATAATATTGTATTATATTTGACTGGAGTGCGTGTTAGATATTAATAGACAAAAAATACACCTCACTAATACATGTTAAAAAAATATAGGAATAATTAAATAAAATGTACACAGTTTTGAAAATTCACACAAGGGTTATAGAAAATCTGCGTAAACAAAACATTCACGTCTAGCGAAATCTGCAGACAAGAATTTTTTCCTTTTGCCGCCTGAATCGTAATTTTTCCGTTCTATTCGATGAGGCCGCGTAGTTGACACCCACCGCCCGGTTCGTTAGGCAGCGTGCTGCAAATCGAATTTCCTTGAGATAAAATTAGTAATCACTTGCAGCCATTAACTCCTTATCTAATCGAGAAGCGAGATATATGAAATGAGTTTCACCAAGCTGATTATTGATTTAGAATTTGTAAATAACTTAACCATTATATTTATTAATAAAGTTGAAATTTATAATAAAAAAGTGAACTCTGTCTTTAAAAACTAAAAAAATCAAATAGTCACCACTTATAAGCTGCTAAAATCTATTTAAAGACATAGTGTATTGAATAATAATGAAAGCCCTAGTTTTCTAACATATTTATTAAAAAAAGATAAATGAACCGGTTCTTTTTCACAATTGACAAAGTTATGGCGCAACATAATACACACAATATATAAAAGAAAAATACAGTCGAATTGGGATCTTCCTGTTTTCTTCTCTTTGTCTCTGTTTGTTAATACTCACTTCCCATTTGGTGACTCAGCAGGCTATTGTAAGTTTTTAATTTACGTTAAAATTTATGTTTTCTTTAAACTTCATTAATTTAAAGAAAGCTCCATTTATTTAATATGATCATTTGATTGATATGATTCTTGTCGATGTATGTGAAATAAAAAAGTGTACACAGGCATCATTTTAAAAACAGTAGGGAATTTACAGATCTTAAAATGTAGTGATAAATTGAAATTCGAACCAGATATTTATTAGATCCGAAAAAAATACATTCCTATATGGTTATTTACCACATGGGTCCACAATTCAATGGTTTTTCTAATAGATTTTTTCTTTTACTATTAAAGTTGTTAATTGACGAAATCATCAATTAACAACTTTTTATCGAAATCGTCAATTAACAACTTTTTATGGCCTCCGAGCCACAATGATGCTATGGATTCAACAATATGCTCGTAAATAGGAGCCCCTTACTATCAAAACGTGTATTGGTCGTTCATTAGGCTGAGCTCTCTCCCTTTTTCCACGGCCAGAGCATCACAATCAATGACCCAGGCAATTATTGACCCTGAAGGCTTCCTGGGCTGAAATGAAATCCAATCCCAAAAAAATATAAATCCTCAAAGTTTTATAGTAATTGGATGACTGGCGTAGGAATGTATACGGAACAAACAAAGAAACATTAACTTTTAGGGTAACCAACGGGACCCTATTACTAAGCCTTCGCTGTCCGTCCGTTTGTTCGTCTCTCTGTCAGCGGGTTGTATCAGGTATCTCATGATCCGTAATAGGTAGACAGTTGACATTTGGTACACAGAATGGGGCTCCCCTATTATAAACGTCTTTTACGATGGTACGGAACCCTTCATGCGCGAATCCTACTCGCACTTGTCCGGCTTTTTATATAATACTAGCTGTACCCGGCCACGCGTTGCTTTGGCTCAGTCGGGTCAAATATAAATGAAAGAAAGTGTTGCTTTTACTTCTAACATAATATGGCACTGTTTTACAAAAATTTCAAAGCGCTCGGTGAAAATTTCACATCTATAAATTTTTATTCGTTTAGATAGATAGCATATAGATTTATGCGATACTCAACTCTCATTTGGGTTGATCTAACTATTTAAACTCAGCAAAAGTTGATTTCGAAACATTTACCTTTGTTAATATTCGAAACCCTACTAAAACTTTACGAGTGCTGCTTACCGGCTTATGAATACTTTGATGGCAAAAGTTTTCTAGAATTCGTAACTAACTTTCTAATATCTATTGATCCAAAAACGTCACAAATTGATTTACTAATCAATCAGTGTTTCAAAGCTCGTACACTCATACATTTCGTTTGCAAGGAATGCCACAAAACACTTTCCCACGGTCTTATCAGGTTGTCACTCCATCGAATGGGGGGACGCTTTACACTCGAGAATGACACTCGAGAACCTATCTCCGTCGATTGTCGATTCTTCGAGCTATATGGCTGGCCTATTGCCACTTCAGCTTACTAATCCGTTGGGCTATGTCGATGGCTCTGGTCTTACTGCGGATATTCTCATTTTTAAATCATCAGCGGAAACTCCATAGCTCGCTGAGTGACATTGAGCGTCCTCAACGTCTCAGTTTCATAAGTTATCACTGGCAACATGCACAGTTTAGAAGTTTTGAGGTACACGTAATGAGAAGATGTATCGTAATTAGCCGAGTTGTATCCGTCAATTGACCTCTCGGTCAAAGTTGGACTTACTTAGTTGGACTATTTTTCCATGGTAAATATACTTGTCAGTCACTTCGAGCGTGGTACTCCAAACAACTAGCGAAATTTATTTTATAGAATAAGGGTGACAAACGAGCACACAGTCCACCTGATGGTAAGTGGTTGCTGTGGCCCATAGACATCTACATCTATCCTCGATTACGAATCAAAATGCAGATGCGTTGTCACCCGTGAGGTCTAAGATGGAATGCCACGTTTCCAGTAAAAAAGGGTCTCCAGTTCTCTACACTCTCCATACGAAACACAGCAGCTTTATGCTGCTATTTTACGCTGGTATTCTGTGAGAAAGCGTGGTCTTCCCCGGTCGAGCCGACCCATTCGTGCTACAACTATACTACTAATATAACTGCAGCATGACTCTACCACGTAAATAGATGTGATATGGACGTTACACATTACATTTATTTTGTCCATGATCATCTTAAGCCCCATCCGTTTGGACACTACTGAAGTTATTGGGAATAGTGGTTACGTTCACTAAATTAAACAATTCACATTTGCCTGGTCTTCTATACCTTCTTCTCCATCAGTCCGTAAAAGTCCACTGTTGGACATGGGTCTCTCTGTTGTACGGAAGATTTGCCTAAACCGTCACATTAATTGACGGTCGCAATTCAAAACGTGTTCTTACACACGTTAATACAATACTCAGATCGGTAACAACGTATTATACGTTACCAATCTGAGTGTAGTATTTCCATATAATTCGCACTTACGACACCTAAGGTACGAAATGGTGTGAGAGCTTTTCTTCCACTGTTACCACACGGCGAACATAGTTCTAGGTGACGATGATCTGAGGAGATAGCCTTTTTATGTTTAGTAATGCACTAAAACGTTAATCTCCACCGAACCATTGAAATTTTTAATCGTAAGAGATAGTAGCCAAATGGTTAATAGTGCGGACCGCGGATTCAAAAATCGTGGGTTGGGCCATCATTCGACTACCGACGTGAACCATTCCTATCACAAGCATTTTAAACTTACCTGGAGTGTTAATCGGAAATATTATAAAAGTTTAAAGCTTGCTACTATTTTAAAAAGTGTTTATTTACCACGTGTGCGGTGGTGCACTATTTTTATTAGTATATTTTAATCTGAAAGTGAGCTTGTATAAAAAAGTTTTATACTTTAATATAAATATTTGAATGCCTACAAAAAGTAGTTCCAAGTTCGCAGATCTTTACCGATGTTAAATTTAATTATTTATAACATCTGCACGAAAAAAACCTACGAATTAATGGTTAATATAATATATAATGAATGAATGCGCGACTATTGATTTAATCCTTCTTGTCTTACTATTTATATTATAGACGTTTTCCACTTACCTATAATCATTTGGCTCGCTGTCGTTAATAATTTCACGTCATTTTCGGCGTCTTGCGTTTCTAGTCGGACAGTCACGTTGAGTGGGTCCACAGTTTCATTGTCAGCTCTCCCGTGTAACGTCACGAGTACTGCGGTTGTCTTCCCGGGTACTGCCACTTCCGGCGCCACCACCGAGAAGCCACTATAATAGATTGTTAATTTAAAATACAAGCAAAGATGAATTTCTTAAATTAGAAAAATGTTACCAGTTTTATTAATTTCTACTGATGAAATTGGCTTTTAATTTTTATTAAAAAAAATTAAAGGCCGACTTCATTTACTACAAAGAATAAAATATTTTTTCTACAATATAAAAGTGACAAACGACCACAAAATCCACCTGATGGTAAGTGGATCCTGTGATCCACAGACACCACCATCAATTCTTGAAATAAAATCAAAATGTAGATGCGATAATTTACACTTAATAGCTTCTAAAGTCGCCGTTTAGTCAGAGCGTATCGACGTGTTAAAACCCAGACAGATATTTTTATAGGTAAAATAGTTTGTTAATTCTTATTTTTGAAGACGGTTTTTACTTTATATCTACTAAACTGTAGTAACTTTTTACACATTTGAGTGGACTAAGAAATACCACAAATTCAAACTAATAAATAAAACGTCCTCTAAAATAGTTACATAAAAAATCTCATCCCCTATTTTGATTCCTTTAGGTTATCCGAGCTCACAAGCAAAATAATTTTTATCGGATCAGCCGTTTCCGAGAAATCGTTCGACATACATAAAACTATTTACAAGGCCACTAAAGATGCCGGCTTAAGCGGTTCGAAAAATGACCAATACAAATAAATATTGGCCGACGGTACGTGAATCGAGAAAAGAATATTGAAAGTTCACTATAACCAAAGCAGCTGCAGTGCGACAAATGGTATGGACACGTTCCAATTATGTTATTTCCCATTTTTCTTATTTGCCCGGTATATTGTATTAAGTTTGACAGAGGTTTTGAGGGCATTCGTGTGTTGACACAGTTCGGTAAGATCTTTGATCACTGTGTATAACTAAATGAGGATCGTACCCGAGACGCTAGAACTGATTTCAATCTTTGGGATAGTAGTACCGTAGTCAGTATTTGGCAAATATATATTACAAGCCAGTGTTTAACTAATATATTATACTTCATTAGTCTAATGGTCGCGACTTTTGGTCATGAGGTCCCGGGTTCGAATCCTGGTTTAAATTAGTTAGCCTAAATTAGTTATTGGGTCCGTCAAGAATTTTTTAGGACCAGTCCGGAGTCGGAAATTTGGCGCTGTTTTATCCCTGTGCCTCAGAATGCTTGTAAAGATTTTTTTTTATAGGGTAGGGTGACAAACGAGCACACAGTCCACCTGATGGTAAGTGGCCACTGCGACCAATAGACATCTACATCTATCCTCAATAAAGACTCAAGATGCAGATGCGTTAGTCTCCCGTGAGGACTAAGATGAAATGCCTCTTTGTCAGTAAAAAGGGTCTCCGGTTCTCTACACTCACCATACGAAACACAGCAGCGTTAAGCTGCTATTTTACGCTGGTTTTCTGTGGGAGCGTGGTCCTTCCCCGGTCGAGCCAACCCATTCGTGTTACAACTATACCACTAATATAGCTGCATCATGGCTCTACCACGTATTTTATCCAGCGCCTGTTCTGTCTCTGGTCGCGTTAGATTGCCGTTCCATTGGAAGATCAGTGTAAGAGAAAGATAATGCACCTGTGCTTGCACACTCGATCACTATAATCCTATCGGCTAGTTACCGTTGAGACTGGCCGCCATGAAAGAATGCGGTCTGGAGGACATTATTATTAATATAATAGTTGATGAGAGTCAAATCAATCTCATATAGAAAAACGAGGATGACATTGCAATTGAATGGAAAAGCAGACACTGGACATATCCACTCCTTTAATGAACGCATTACCTAAAGCGAAGCAAACGGTTTTTTTTTCGAATGCAAAGGACAGTATGCTAGCTATCTCCGATATTATCGCTAACGTAACGTGACATAACAGTCGACAGTACCCTCTGATAATCTACTACTAGTAGTACTAACACAGAACACAATTACTCTCTACTGAGAGAAGAAAGCCAACTTCATACTAAAAAAGGAAACGCGTGTTTATGAGTGTACGCTACAAGCGCCACGGTGGGCGCCCATATAAAACTTTTTAGCGGGAATTTTAAACCTTTGTATTCTGTAACTTTTAAACTTTTTGTTTATTTACGGCAAATTTGAGTACGTAATTTTGGCTCGAGCCTCACAAAACTATTGGGTGAATTCCCATACTTTGAGACGTTGCACAAAAATTACTTTAGAGGAGCATTTAAGATAAAATAAAACTATAAATAGGTATTGTTATGTAATTATATTTTCTGGAGGATTGTTTTATAGAAATACATTATTATTCAAAATTCTCATGGTGAAAAGTTAACCCAAATAAATGATCTGAAACAGATGAAACTCGAATCAATGTAGTAATAATCCCTATAAATAACGATCAATAAATTCAAAATGTTTAAAGACTTATCACAATATTTTTTTTACACGTTAGTCTTAACTTAGTTTCAATTCTGATGACACATAATGCAAGAATATTAAAATAATGAATTAATTTATAGTGAATATCTCATATAGAGTCAACACCTTACTAAAAATCTTTACTGTATATTAACGACAATATTACTATTATGTATTCCTGAGGGAAAGTATTCTGAACCGATACTAAATAAATTTAAGCAAAAATCAATATTATTAAAATCTAAACCTATAAAATAAATTTTAGAAATTATTTTCAATAGGAAAGACTGACAAACAAATGTAATTATTTTCTTCTTTTAATTCATTGCTTCTTTTGATAGAATTCTACTAATGTTTAAGAATTTAATTTCAATCAATTAAAATGTAAATTCATTGTGCAAATCTCAGAGTAATATATGTGTAATTATAATCTAAGGAGCAAACCAAAAAAAGTTTTACATAGAATTAACATTTTCAGTTTCTTCCGATACAATATTTATTTTTGTATTTAATATTTAAAATGGCAATCTGAAGCAACGCGACGGAAAGAAATAGCGATATCTTTTTCTCGCTTTATTTTTATAAGGCCAACCCACACATAGAAAAAATTATTATTGTGTGCAAGTTTCTGGGATTTCATATATAGTTGCATTATCCTGCTCTAGTTGTATCCCTAAGTTATTGTCGTGACTTTTTATTAAGTGCTTTGGAGAATCATCATTGACATAATCTGAATAATTTTGTTGTTCAAAATTAAAAAGAAAAAAAATAATAATTAATAATAAGGTAAAATACAAAAGCTGGAAAGCGTTTGGTAGAACATATGACACGGAACGGCGTGGTGATTCCTTACACTTTGAGCGGCCGCTACGTAGGATACTCTTATAAAAGCGTGTGCTTGTAATAACTAATGACGCTGTTATAGCTTCTAAAGTATAGGCCTAAATTATTCGATTCTTCGATACACTCTATATTTGCATAGGGGCCTAACCATAATGATAACACGAGTAAGCGTGTAGCGTGGTAACACGTTTCCCATACAAGTCCGGTGGTCTCCAGTCAGAACATCGTAATAAAACCACATGTATTTGTCATGCACACCGAACGCTCCACCCCGCTGTACACTCTCCCTCCACTCAAGCCTTATGCTAAGATCTAACGCGTAAAAATATTATATCGTGTTGCACATTACAAGGAAAATAAACTTTGTACCAACCTAATCACAATGCGCTAGAAAACTTGAACTTAATAAACTGTGAGAGCACAGATAATAATTTATAAATACTAGCTATCCCGATAGATGTTTTTCTGCCTTTTCTGGTAGCTGGTGCGATGAGTTTCAGTGCATATTTAATATAGAGTAAATATTAAATTTATTAATAACTCGACCACAGCACTTCCTATCCGGTCCAAATTTTGTGAATCTCTGTTTTGGTGCTAAACCAACATATATTTTTGCAACTAGTCCGGTAGACGTTGTTCTGCCCTTTCCGGTAGGTGGCGCAATAAGTCTCACTACTGAATTCTTACAGTGTAAATATAACAATTATTAATACTTCGACCACAGCCCGATTCCACGTTTTTTGATTTTTTAATTCTTTTTTTATTTTGTTGGCACTCATTATGGGCCATAAATAGGGAATTTGTTGACAACTTCACTACAGCGCCGCCTATTGGTTCTTAACAAAGTTATGAACTAATCGCCAATGTGAATATGATCTGGAGGTGGGCAAAGTGTATCATTTTTGGGATTGGAACATTTGCATCTTGATCACTGAAATGTTCCGAAACACTGATATGTTTCATTTGGCTCATTTGTATCATCGACTCAAAAGATATAAAAGAAAGAATGTTCCGAATACATTAAGTTGCGTTGCGGGCGTTTATTATTGACTGATCCGTGAAATGTTATGTGGTAACAATGCTGAATAATATAAGTGCTTAGATTATTTATTGTGTACCGTAATAAGATTGTATATAAAATCGATTCTTATTTCGCCCGCTCATTCGCCACTCGTGAGTCAATAGTTAAGTTAATCATTGTCTCAGTCTCTCTCTCTCGCTCGTGGCTCAGTCGCTTCGCAAGCGACGCGTCGCGCGAAATGAGCAAAGAGCAAAGTAATGTTTCACTGTTCCAGATACAAATGATACATTTGAAACGTTGTTACTGAACCAATCTTTTGTGTCACTTCAGTGATTCGTATCAGTGAGTCGTTTCCATAAAGAGATACACACGCCTAATATGATCTCAGTCGGTCGAGTCGATGTTCAGAAGTTACACGATCACTTACGGAGGCAAGTAGGTACAATAAGACAATAATTCAATAAGAAATTAAATTATTATTAAGTAAGTTTATTTCAAAATAAATTCTACTTCAAGAAAAAGTAAATATAAGGTAAAAATTTTCGGTTGTAATAGAAAGGAGCAGATATATACCAGTGGAAAAATAGGTTATACCGGTGATAAATGTGAAGTAAAATGTATTAAGCAGCAGAGATAAGATTTGGGCCCCATCTGTTTAGTTCTCAAGCATATTTGCCGACAATTTACCGCTAAATACATTACACGCTCGTTCGGGATTGGAGTATTTATTACGACAAATTAATGGCATTCATTTACATG